GAGCGCTTCCGATTATCGTAAAGAATCCATTTTTCATCACAGGTAATAATTCGGTTTAAAATGCCTTCATTGTTGTGCCGGTTCAGTAATGTAACGCAGCAGTTGACGCGCGTTTGCCGGTTTGCTTCAGTCAATTCGTGAGGTACCCATCTTTCAAGCTTTTTAATATTCCCAATTTGCTTCAAGTGAATTAAAACAGTTTTATCACTAACATCGCAGCCTGCAGCTAACTCGGACGTGGTTTGCGATGGATCTGCTTCCACAATAGCCTTCAATACTTCTTTATCAACTTGGGTCTCAGGCCGTCCACGGGGCTTGTTCTGCAGGTCGAAATTTCCAGAACGAAAACGTTGGAACCAAAAACGAACTGTGTTTTCTTTTGCAACATGACCGCCATACACATCATTCACCCTTTGAGTCGTTTCCGCAGCACTAGTGCCACGGCAGAACTCGTACTCGTAAATAATGCGATACTTTAAGTTTTCCATTTTGTAAAATGAGTGACGCAAACAAAAAAAAACAGAAGAAAAAAACAAATAAATGACGGTCATCAAAGCACAAATACATGAGTAAATAGCTGTACAAATTTGAATTTGGAATTCCTTACCAAAGAGGAGAACATCGTGATTAAAGTGGCCAGTACGAAATACGCCAATTTCATATGTAAGGACCTAATAAAACGGAAAAATAAAATGAAGCGTGGTTTTCGTAAAAAAAACGCAAGAGTAATTAGCTGAAAAAATTAATTTGGAATTTCTAACCAAAGAGGAGATTTTTAAGGTCAAAGCGTCAATTTCATATACGTTTTCTATATCAAAAATGTACTTGTTGTTAACAATTTCCAAATAAGCTAAAACAAATTTACAAGACACGCCCTAAATGTTCTAACCTTTCAATATGCCCTTCACCTTTAATCAAAAGTGGGTCACGATTTGCACATTCACTTCCTTTTGAACTATGGAAACTTAATTAGCAATCCATGGTTATATTTGGTCCGGCCCTATGATCGCAGCGTGTATATAGCCCTAAGGCTTTCCATTTAGGACCATCTAAAATAAACAAATTCTCAATTCAAACCTAGAATAGGAATGTCTTAAAATAGCGCGCCTTAATATGATTTTAACTGACTGACTGAAAAAAAAAGTTAAATATGTAAAGGCGGCAAACAAAACTGAGAGAGCGGGTCTCGCGAGGAATGGCGCCCCGGCTCGCCCATGAATATTGTAAACAAAAATATTACCGATGTAGCCAGGGCGTATTTTGCGAGACGTGTGACGAGACGTTTAGAGATTTAGATATAGAGTCCCTGGACACGATGGCAGGGGAGTAGAATAGGTATTATTTGTAAAAAAAAATATGAATTTGACTTAGACTTCAAAGTCGAGACTTTTATTCAAGGGGCAAGGAGGCTCACCCGATGTTAAATGAACGGGCACTCCCATGAACAATCTCAAAGCCAGAAGGCTCGCGCATGCTTTGCCTACCCTTTAAGAATTGATACTCCTTTTCTAGAATTACCCTAAAGTGGAATTAGTTTGGATATACTTTAGTGGGCAGCTGGTTCCATATAGTGTTGGTGCACGGAAGAAACTGAAAAATGTTTGTATGGAATTTTACAAGTCACACTCTAAAACCTACCCTATAACGCGCAAAGATTCCTTTGTATTCAAATTGCAGGCATTAAAATATACCTTCTCTCTCTTCAGTCGGTAGCTCATATCTGAGCTTCGTCTCCAAGGAAACAACTGGAGCGGACAATCTGTTTCCACTGGTTTGTATCCAGCGCCTCTCTTATGTCTTTCACTTGATCGGGCCATCTGGTTGGTGACCACGTGATGTGCCTTCTGTGCTACCTACTATCAGTTTCTCCGAGAGCCTCGGTGCATATAATATATACCTTAATGAAATTTATTCATTAAAACATATTATTGAGTCAGATTTTGAAATACAAGTGATATATCATTTGATGGGAACATTGCTTTTGAATACCGACTATTGTTATCATTTCGTAATATTGTTGATTGATACTGATTGTTTTGTGATGAATTGGGACCGACCTACTTTATAAAATTTGCAAAAAAATTGGCCACAAATAGGGATGAAAATGTACTAATAGTATGAACTGACTTTGATACTGATGATATTATATAAATGTCAGAGAATCAGACAATGTTATGATCGAGTCAATTGACCGTTGATTTTTATTTTTGTTTTGGTTAATCATTGATATTCCTTCTATTACTTTAATTAAATAAATTAAGAATCATAATTTTTTTTGATTCGATTTGTTTTATTATTATTTAAATGTTTCATAGTTTGGACTCAACAGTTTTAACTTTTATTATGATATACGGCTCAACGTTTATCATCATAAAAGTTATGTCATAAGGTTTTTTTGTATTATGTACTATTAAAGTGACCTATTGAGTTGGTTTTATAAAATGAAATAAGGCTTTAATGCCTAAGTACAGCATTAATCTTATTAATCTAATTAATCTGGATATGTCCTTCGCTATTATACCATTCTACACTTTTTATTTCGTCCTCCCAACGCCTCACCTTCCCTTGCTTCACTTTCTATCCCTGGGGTACCTGTTACTATGTTTTTTAAGATCTTAATATTCGCTAACAAAATCTCTAAAAATATAAATTCGATTAGCCAGGCCAGGGAGTGTCATTGGATCGCTTTAGGATTGCTCCAAAAACGAAAACGAATTTTGTTTTGTATTTTATTAAAACGTTTTTTCTATAATAATGTTATAAAGCCCGCATGTAAGGCAAATAATACTATAGTAAAATGAAGAATGAAAAGCGTAAATAAAAATAATAATGAACAATCATAAATCATTATACAACTGATCCAATTACCGATACAACTTAATCACTCGATCAAACAAATTGCTTTATGGGAATTCTTTATAAGGTACAAAACAATTTCCTATTGTTATACGAATTGAAAAAACGATTGTTCCTAGTAAAAGTAAATTGGAGTACAATTACCTACTTTTATGACTCCCTGCTACCTTAGGACTAGTAGAACTTGAGTTGTCAGATCTGCCCTGCGATTCTGTAACTCACTTCACGTACTCACACAGCGGTTTTCGCATCGGCGGTCGCTCTCAAATCAGTCGTGAAGCAGTCATTTTATGATTTGGCATTCTGATTAACAATAAACTACAAGCTCACACTTTTTCAGAATGCCAAATCATAAAATTACTGCTTCACGACTGATTTGAGAGCGAACCGGAAAACCGCTGTGTGAGTTCGTGAAGTGAGTTACAGAATCGCAGGCAGATCCTTTACTGGCCTTTTGTTTTCACAGCGTGAATGTCTTAATATTATGAAATAATGAGTTTATTGAAGTGAACATGTCTTCTACAAAACTGCTAACATCTGCTTTTTTTCACACCTTTACATTATCGAAGTTTTCATACGGATCTCCAACTTTTTTGAAAATATTTTATAGTTTAAGTTTATCAGGAATAATGTAGGATCCTAACGGTGGAATAATTTTTCAATTCAGTCTAGTGGTTTGGGTGGAAACAAATAAACTTTTCCTAATTATAATATTAAAACAGATAAGGTTAATTTAAAAACGGTTTCTCCTAATTCCGCCTTTTGCAGTTTGCAAGTCATGATGTACGGTATTTAGAGCCTTTGCCTAAAGCACAGATATACACAAAAAACAAGAAGAAGGAGATATACTGATATATAAACATACTAAATATACATATTAATATTATAAAGAGAAAAGATTTGTTGAACGTTTCAAAAATTCTTTCATTTTCTCTCTTTAATCATTTTTAAGTAACAGGCTATATTTATTTCCAAAATGTTTCAAAAATATTCCATAAATAAAAGGCTCTTATTATTTTTACGATTTAACAATAGATATGAAGCTAGAAGTTATCATCACCGCCCACAGCTACCTAACCTTTGGCAATAAAATCTACGCAAAAAATCTTAAATTAGCAAAATTCTTTATTTGGCGTTATAATGGGAATTAATTTATTTTATAAAATATTTTAATTTTTTTTTAAATAAAATATAGTGATCATTAGTATGTGAATTCTAGAAATTTGGGGTCAAAAACCTCTAAAATATCCTGAGAAAAGGATGAAATTAAACTAGTTTCGTAAATGTTTTGAGAAGACGCAATTATGTTTTAAGTTCTATGACCTCATAAATATTTTAAATGTCAAGAAACAAGGATGTTTTCTTATAAATATTAGATTTAACCATAAAGTGGCTATTGAGGGTGCTTCTATTTGTAGCACGTTGGAGGAATATTAGTTCCACTGTATATGAATCCAATATTTTCTCAGCTTAATATTAACTTTTCTTATGAATCAGCCAATTGCCTTAACACAAGTAAGTACAAGACACGGAAACAAAAAAATATTCTAAGAATCATTAATTCAAATAAAGAACGCGGCCCAGATGGAATTCCGCCACATTTCGCAAGAAGGTGTTATGATGTTTTCTCACAAATCTTTATCAATGAGCTTACCCGTGTTTGGAAAACAGCACATGGTATAAATAAATAAAATAAAAGTATAAAAAAAGTTCTTTATTTCTTGCAAAATAACAAAGTAAACTTAATTCTATTATACATTTTTTAAGATAATAAATTACACTACTTTACTAAATCCTAAAGTATAGTCAGACTAATGCTATTCTGCAATATAAAACTTAAACAGTCAGCTGTTTGATGGGGTTTAAGTTTTTTTTTAGTTATTATATTGTTTTTTTTTGTGTTTGCTCGTTAAATTTTTCCTTAATATGTTCTAATATACGTAATTGATGTGTGACAAAAGTTTGTGATATCATTTTTTCTGGTACATATAATTTTATGCATAAACGTTGTTTTAGAACTTGTAAATAAATAAATAGAGTGCGCATATTGGGTAAGCCTGTAATTCATCAGCGCTGAGTAACCTGGGCTATCTGACATTCTGCTCGAGCGAAGTTTGCAGTTGGAATTCTTTTTGTGTGTTGGGTTAATCGAAATCCATCGGTGCCCATTTTAGCACGTCGCCGTGCCTATGAGGGAGGAGCATACTCTCTTTTAAAAAAATGGAGATCTCTGAGGAATCAACCGGGATTCCATTCCACAGTTCGCTGCGGACCGAGCCATTCCAGCCATCATGGTGATGCGGATGAAATTTGGAGGTAATACGCCTTGTACGGTCTGCAACAGAATTGTCACTTAGTTGAGCACAAGAGGTGACGCCGGGGCCTGTGTCACCCATAAACAACATGAGGATATTTAAAGGGCATTAAGTTCTGCATGAATCGCACTGCATGCCCTCTTTTTTGCAAATTGTTAGTACTGTCTGTCTTTTTATTAAATAAAATGTGTTTATGTTTTTCTATTAAATTTGTAAATCTGTCCTTTTCTTCTTTTCCAAAATTTACCGAACGTTCTCTGAAAGTCAATGAGTCACGTAAATAAAGACACTTCTAACTATATCTCTCAATATAATATACATACTTTGCGCATATACAATTCATGCAATATAATAATAAAATAATAGCTTTATACTTACTTTGGCGAAGAGGTTTCCATTATTTATATTAAAATTAAACACTTTTTAAAATTAGCCTTTCGTACAAAATAATAAACATCCGATGTCAAAGTTGACAGAATCTTTCAAATGACATTGTTTTTATCAATGTTGTTATTACTAAAAAATAATTCCCATAAAACATTAGGTCAAAATAGCGTTACGCAAACGGGCAACCCCATTAACAATGACGAACTCATTTTTTAACAATGAAGCAACGCTAACAAGTTAACAGACGTTAAAGTTCATACGTGTCTGTCAAATTTTAACGAACGTAAGTTACGATAGCAAATGGTTTGAAACAACCCGCCCTTAGTCTTGATCTTAACTCCCTTTCGTTAATGAAGTTGGGTGAAGAACAAGCAGGTGTTTATTGCGCATAATATACTTAGAAAGAATGGATGGAGCATGGAAAATGTATAGCTTTATAGCACATACAGAACGTTTGCAAACGAAGTTTGTTTTGTGTGAGGTATATGCCTTTTAACGGAGCGCGAACTACATATATTCGCGAATTGATGTTAAATATTTCATAAATTATTTATTAGACATTAAAGAGAATAGAGTAAACAATGATAAATATTTTGGGGCAGCAAACTTCCTTATTTTTGCCATTCATCTTCTTGATAATAGATTCTTAATGTTTTAAAAGATATTGAATTATTACAAATGAAATGGATATAAATCATTTTATTTTACTTTATTATCAAATAGTTTGTACTTAATTTATTTATGTATGCGCCATCTAGTGGCAAGTCGAAAACATAAATATACTAGTATAATTTCAAACACTTATTTGTTAGCACGCCATCTAGCGTCAACAAAATTTACTACGTCGAAGACATCAGTCTATTTGTAATAGAATAACCTTGTTATAGATGACGCTTGTCTTTTAAAAATATGAGTGTGTCTACTTAAAACAATAATTATAATAATAAAGAGAAAATAAATACGTTGGCGACTGTTTCAAAAGTATAATTTTTCTAAAAGTTTATCAAATAACATTATGTTACCTATATTCTCTTTAAAATTAATAATTTATTCAAAATATTGATATGACTTTTTTAATTCTATTAATTGTTTATTTGTTTCATATTATTGACATTATATACCTAAACATGTAATCTCCACTTAAATTTTATACAAATTACAATAACATATTTTAAATTTAAACTTGGACTTTAAATCGTAGCTTCATATAGTAAAAGATAACACGTAGGAACTAAATTTAAGCTCTTTGAAAACAAACATTTGCTTTTCAAAAATAGAACTTCCTTAAGACCCTGACGTAACAATATAAGAACCGATACTTTCCATCTAAGCTTTCCTTTACCGCTTCCCAGTAATTTCGACTACGCGCCTTTTCCCAATCTCCTGATTGGCGGAAGTTACGTGACGTCATCGCGCCCACGCGGTCTCTATGACGCAACCCGATCGATATTATATCCGCCTCTTTCATACGTATGAAGAAGGCAGTAGGTCTCGCTCTCGTAACAGCATTTCCAAATTCAAAAATCGTAGGCGTCCTCGTGCGTAGAGACGAACCGTTTGTCAATGTTGAATGTAGTCTGACCCAGGATTTTATGTTTGTTTACAAACTATTCCTTAGCTTTAAGGGATTTTAACAATTCAATAATTTTTTGATCATAATACTATTCAAATATTTAGCTATTAAAATTATCAGTATCTGATATTAATAATATAAATAATCTATCTCTTAAGAATTAAAATTTGTCGAGCGCTTCAAAGATTCGTACCAACGCCTTGCTTACACAAAACTTGACACCTTTCAACTTTATTGTACTGAGTATTAACTTATTTGAAGAATTTAAAAATATTATATATTTAGCCATATCATCACCACTCAGAGTTGTTCATTAAATTTAAGTTTTTAAATTAAAATAAATACATCAGAATAGAAACTTTAAAAGCCTGGTACTATGCTTCCTATAAATCATTCTTATAAGTTTCTAAACAATGATAGTATTTTTTTAAAATATGAAACTGGGAGCATTGTTGGCTTAGTGGTTTCAGCTTTCAGCTCTTATTCCAGAGGTCAAAGGTCATTAACCAATATTTATTACTATTATTGTTAATTATTAATATAAAATAATAATATCTAATAAATTGTGCGTGTACTAGGTGTACACACGTAAGAAGTGAAACTTCTTTATGATCTTATTTTTCGAAAAATGATCTACTATATGCAACTTTACAGAAATTCGTTAAATTAGATAAAGTTTAACAAAAGGCTTTTATTATCATAGACATGAATACAAATATTTCATTTTACCTTATTACTACGAAGATTATTATAGAATTTCATTAATTGTAATAGAATTATTACTATCATTGAAAAACGTGACGATTTGCTACAAAATTTCTCCCATACGTCGATAAAGAAGTTTCATTTCAACGCCGATAAAGAAGTTTGACTTCAAAAAGCAACATGGCGCGTAACCGAAAAATGTGACGCGTAACGAAAAAATGTTAAGTACACTAAATTTTTTTCCAACCTCGATAAAGAAGTTTCACTTCAATAATTTTACAATTAAATAATATTAATATAAATTCTGAACTCTTGTTTTATGTATAGAACCCCATGGTACTGGTAGGGTATAGGCCTCCTCAAACCCCTTTTCAAAGTTCCCCTTCTTGAGTTTGCCGCGTTTGAGTTGAGCTCTTGTGACATTTCCGGCCCCGCCTCCATTTTGAGTAGGTATGCCAATTCAAATGCCTTAAGCTTAGGTTCCCTAGAAAAGCGGTGCCGTTAACTAACGGCCGTCATTTTACGGTTGTTAATAACAGCCGTCTTTGCTTTTTAATATAATGCAAAAAAACAATCATTTTCGCTCGTCCAAGTCACGTTTCCACTCATTGTATTAATTAAATATGGGCACCGCTACACGCGAAAAACGTTGAACTAATGTTTATCACCGCTATGACGGCTGTCATGCAAATGACAGCACCGCTATTTGACGTTACGGTGACACTCAACGTTCTCTAGAAAACCTACTCCGATGTTATTTATAGACAACGTATGGGTGACGTCACCCAACGTTACATTACGGCCGTTAGATAACGGCACCGCTTTTCTAGGAAACCTAAGCTTAAGTAAAAAACATAATTAACATATTTTTTAATATCTACCCTTAATTTTTAGCCATCTACCAAAAGTCGATATTAGTAATAATCTTTACATAGAACCTAGTATGTATAATATGTATGTTATTTATCGTTCATGGACAGTTCTGTGAAATTCAGACAGCCCTTGTCGTCACAACACCCACTTATTTTCGAATGACTAAGCAATAAATGCGATTCTGACAATTTAGTATGAAAAGCTTTCTTCTAGAAATATTATTACACTTCTGAGTAGAACACCGACGAAAACAGTGATGTAACTTTAAAATTTAAGGCATTTTGTAACTCCGTCCGAGTTTTTGATTCTTTAGATATTTGGGAAGAAAAATGCGAGGCCCACCAGAAACCTGGGAAGATGAAATAAATAAGATAGAGCTGAAAGATTGGATAGTAGCGAAGATGAGACAAATTGAAGTATTTGGAGGAGGCTTTTACTCCGTCTGAGGTCGTGTACTATTTAATTATAATAACAAACTTAATGTTATTTATGTACTACAAAGAAAATTATAAGAAATTAATAAGTTGGGTCCCTGTGTCAAATATACAGTGTTACAGTTTTCTTAACCTACATAGTTATAATAAAAATAAAAGTTGGCCCCTGGTAGATAGTACCGGTGACCCCAGAGCAGGTGCTTTCCGCGTTGCCAGCGTTGAAGGTTTGTCTGCCACAGGGACCAAACTTTGTAAACTTGTTTGATTTCCTATTTATCCATTTTTAATTATTATTAGTAAAAAAACTTTTCTCTGCATCTTCTACCGCATTAACCATGCAGAGTGTTTAAAGGAGTTGTTCGGATTAATACCTTCATCATAATTTCATCATCGGACGTCGAGGCAGAATACGAAATTCCACCCGTATCACCTCGACGTCCGCCGTTCCACGACTGAGCGTTTTTCAAGGCAGTTTTTGCAACGCACCACCACTATGTGGAACCAGCTGCCCACTGAAGTATTTCCGCACCAATTCGACTAAGGGTCCTTCATCAAATTACCAATTCTTAAAAGGCCGGCAACGCACTCGCGAGCCCTCTGGCATTGAAAGTGTCCATGGGCGGCGGTATCACTTAACATCAGGTGAGCCTCCTACCTGTTTGTTCTATAAAAAAAAACAAATAGATAAATATAATTAAAATGTTATCGCTTAAGTTAAAATTATGTAAATACATATATTAATTATTATTATAAACTGTGGAAATGTGACCTTCAGCAATGGTATTGAATCAGTACTTGGCAATATAAACTTTTGGCTCCCTTATTTTCTCAAAGTACCATAAATTATGTAATATCACTACAGGGTTATCATACAAATATTCAATTGCTATATTACTAAAATGTAGTTGTATATTATCTATGATTTCAAAGTATTCATGTGTCTCTTACAAACACTATTTGACAGAAAGAGATGAAAGAGAGTTTTTCCAAAAGCTATATATAGCCTACAGCCTGATCCATTATATTTGATCATTTATATATGATCCATTATATATATGATAATTCATAAGAAAATCAAAGAAAATGAAAAGAAAAGACGTTAAGCACAGCTAGTAATT